TTAAGTAACTGAATTCAGTATATCTGCAAACATTTAGTTAGCGCTTCGGATCGTCCCTTCGTTGTTCCATAATTTCACTTGGCATCAGTCCAAAAAGAGCAAAATTAATATTTGGCCTTTTCCATGGCCTTTCCGCATTTTACTTGTCCCAGACCGTCCATTTGTTTTAAAGACTACATTTTAAGCTAGCACAACGACCGCAAATTATTTTAGCAAACTTATCTCACCCTTTGTTTGAAATTTTCAGTCTCAGGTCGTTCCACGTTTTTCTTAGGATTTTTTTAGGATTCTTAGGATTTCTTAGGTCAATTTGTCTTAGGATTATGATTTGACCTTCAAACAACCGTAATTTTTTATTACATTACCATTTATCCGCTCGTAAGATGATTTTTCGCAGTTTCACTATCAGGATCACCAGCTTGGAAGACTACCAACCTTGTAGGCAGAAGGAGCCGTAGACGGATCCAGGACGGTCTCCTGGGGTGGAGAGGAGGGGGTGGGGTGGGCAGTTTTCCTCTCTTCTTTCCCTCATACCCGTTCGTCGCTACATCGGAACCCTCACTTTTTCCTCGTCCTCCCTTTCCCTCTCCTAACTACATCGTAACCTCCACTCTTCCCTTCCCCCGTCTTCCTTCCCTCTTCCCTCCTTGCACTCCCTGCGCAACCCCCCCTCTCCCCTCCCGCCCTTCCACTCTTGGCTACCCCGTTACCCCTCTCCGTCTTGGACCCGTCAATGAGAGGAAAAGACCTCAAATTACCCTGCTCCAAAGGGACCAGTGAAGCTTCGCTATATCAACGGTTACCGCGTAAATAATTTATGAAAGCTTCTGTCTAACTACTTTCGCTGCAACCGTCATACTGACGAGGTGCAGTTGCAGCACTGAACAGGAATGTATGCGACATGATGGACCGAAATATCCCCATTCAATTTTCAATCTTAACTTATTCAATTGCCCTTTTTTGTTTCCTTACATCTTACGAAAACACATACCAACTAAAATTAAAATTAAAATATTTATACTGAATTGCGAAATAGTAGTCATCGTTGATGGTATGAACTGTTGCATTCTTTTTTTTATTTTTCTTTTCAGCCCGTATGTTTCTGGAATAGACGCGGTGCCAGCGTTTCAACATGGCGACGCGGTAGCAGGAGCGGTTCGGAAGATGAGATTCGTCTGGCGCGATTCGACAGAACTGAAGATGATGAACGATGACCACCCTTTTTCTCGTCACGCAACGTTTTCTGTCGACGACATAAATTAGAACGAAGAGAAAATCAAAAAATTTGTTAGAAAATTTTTTTTTTGTTTTTTTAGAAACAAAAAAAAAACAAGAAAAAATAAATAGCGACGCGCACCAGGGTAGCGGAAGGGATCAGGCATTTTGCGCAGTTCCATCCAGCGGACATTTGCCTATTAAGAATTTTCACTGTTTTACATTTTGATGTATGCAAAAATAGTCGATATATTGTCTAGTCCCTAAGCTGCGGAATTTCTCACTAAAAATTTCACATACTGATACGTGAATGCTGGATTTGAAACTTTGGATTACACATGGATGAGGAGAAATCCTTCCAAAATTTCAGCTCCCTAGATTTCTGGTTTCTAAATTAGTGATTTTCGCGCCAAAATTTTCACGAAGCCATACGAGGGGTCCAGGCGTAAACGAAAACTGTATTTAAATTTCTAGGGTCACTCCGTGAGCATTGGACACTCACCCAAAATTTCAGCTTTCTAGCTTCCATGGTTCCCGAGATAATTTTTCCCGCCAAAACTTTCACGGGCCGTGACTAACCCCGCTGTGCAACAGTTGTCCAAAACGCATATTGAACAAAACTTACTTGCCGTCTGAAATCCCAGTGTTGATGAATTTTGTGTTTTTTCTGATTGTCTTCCCAAAAAAGTTTAAGTCTTAAAAGTAGAAACTTCTTGTGGTTTTTTTTAAGAAAAATGTCGTCCAAGCTAGAAAGAGACCTGTAATTCTTTGTTGATTTTCGGTTTGGAGTCTAACTTGATCAAATTTGATTGGTATTTTTAAGCGCAGGAACAGGTGCCAGTCGCTATTAATTGATACCAAAAAGTGTTAGGTTCATACTCTGTTATGTTGTACATTTAGTATGTAACATTGTTGTACAGTTATTTCAAATTTTTTTCCATTTTTTGTTTATTTTGAGTACAAACATTGAACAGGCCGTAGGCACTAACTGGAGATCTACAGCTCATCACTGAAGGGCCTAAACGGTTGAACCCAGTTGACATATAGGAACATTTCATTAACATCACTAACATGGGATCTTCAAAAAAAAAAATCATCTTAAGCGACCGCTGTATTCGTTTAAAGTATTTTAAACGTTCGTAGTGTGAGTGCTTTTCGGCGGTATACAAATTTGGCTAGGAAAAAAAAAAACTTCCATAGGTTTTTTCGGCGGTATACAAATTTAGCTGGGAATCTGACGCTTCCATAGGCCTCCCAATTGCATTTGCTCGGGTTTTCCCCTGTCTTTT